AAAAATTGGGTAGAACAGTTTCTAGGAACTGTTTGATCAGAGCAGATTCAAGAGAAAATGAGAGGAAAGAGAAAAAATAAAACTAGGCAATATTTTTTATAGAAAAGGGAAACAGAAAATTAGCCAGTTGAAGAGTAACATGGGGTCAAGAAAGAGTACAAATTAAGGTGGTATTTTCATTTCTATCTTGGAAAAGTAAAATCATGGATACTATTAATTGAAGTCTGGCAGTATTTCTCAAGGCATATTTGTACAATCTTCTATCTAAGCACAAAAGTCGGGCTGAGGATGTGGCTCAAGTGGTAGTGCTCTCTCCTGGCATGCGTGCTGCCCGGGTTCGATCCTCAACACCACATACAAACAAAGATGTTGTGTCCGCCGATAACTGAAAAATAAATATTAAAAAATTCTCTCTCTCTCTCTCTCTCTCTTTTAAAAAAAAAACAACACAAAAGTCCTATATGATAGATTTGGAAACTGACCCTTGGATAGGTTAAATGACTTAAATGACGTGTTCATGGATTTGAATACAGGTCCACCTAAATCAACTATGCTTGTTTATGGGTTGAACTATGTTCCTCCAAAAAGATATGTTGAAGTTCTAACCTCTAGGACCACTTCAGAATGTGATCTTATTTGGAAATAGGATCATTACAGACATATAGTAAAGATAAAGTCTCACTAAAGTAGGGCAGGCCCCTAATCCAATGTGACTGGTGGCCATATGAGAACAGAGACAAGTAGGAAGAGGGCTCTATGATGACAAGGCAGAGATTGGAATGACAGTTTCAAGACAAGGATGAGCAAGGACCAGAAACTTGGAAGAAGCAAAGAAAGATTCCCCTATAGGATTCAGAGGGCACGGGGCAGCTTGAGCCTTGATTTCTGACTTCCAGCCTCCAAAACCATGAATCAATACATTTCTATTGTTTTACACAACCTCCTTTGTGGTATTGTCTTGAAGGATCCCAGGCAATTAAGGCAGCACAATGGTACCTCCCACACGGACAATGCCTAATATAAATTGCTTAGTTAGTATCTTCTGATGGACCAAAATGAAACTCTGAAAGAAAGAACTTGAGTTTGCCATTCTGCTATGTGAACACATCATCAACATCCGTTGAAATTAAAATCTCTTCACTTTTAGGTGGTAAAAAGTGCACCATTTGCCATCCAAAGTACCACATCATATGGGAACATTTAAAATTGCCACATCTTCATAAGGAAGATGTTTGTAATAAAATCTAGAATAATTTCAGAAAGAATTGAGAATAACTTACCTAAAAAAATATCATGAATAATGCTGTCATCTGATAATATTGATAGGTTTTTAACCCCTGCATTTGTTTCTATAATTCCGGCATTGGTGAAATTTTGATAATAATAGTATATACTATATTTATCCCATAATATTAAATTTGGCATTGCTGAAAATAGAAAACGTGGAATTAAAAAAGTGTCAATGGGAACATCTAACATAAAGTCTTGGTACACCCACTCTTTTGAATCTTCATTATACGTCACTAAGTAAATCCTCTTGTTGGCAGTGCATGTTGTGCTGCAGTAATTTACAAACACGGCAATTTCCAGAGGGTGCCCTGTATATTCAAGATTGTGTATTGTTAGAGTACAGGTTGGTGGGAGATTTAAAAGAGCTTTCAGGTCTGTAGTAGTTGTCAGTTTCATATATCTATCTGGAGAATATCCAAGGTAAATTTCATTTTTTGTCCAGATCGCTATATCACTTTTTTTTCCTTTAGTCTGTGAAAACAAAATTGAAAACGATTAGAAAAATCTTCAGTTTTAGGGATAAGTCTAACAATTCCTATGTTCTAGTTTACTACATTTAAAAATAAAAGGTAGGGGGCTGAGTGTATAGCTCAGTCGTACAGAGGGTACTTAGCATGCATGAAAACATTTGTTCAATCCCCAGCACCAAAACATAAATTGACAAAGTGAAAGGTAGTAATTACCAAGCTCAGTTTTGTTTTAGTATATTTTGTAACAAATACTTCAGGCAGAGAAGTACATTAAATTAAAATGTATCACATTTTATTTAATAAAAATATATCACATTACATATAATCATAAAAACTTGTCCATTAGATTTATTCTTCCATATGCTGTTTCTATCCAATTAATAAGCATAAATTCCCTTTTAACTAGTTTTTCTTTTAATTTTTATTTGTTCTTTTGTTATATAGGACAGTAAAATATATATTGACATATTATACATACAGATAATATAACTTCCCATTCTTGTGGTTGTACATGATGTGGAATTACACTGGTAATATATATGAAAAATAGGAAATATAAGTCCAATTCATTGTACTGTCTTTCCTGTTCCCATCCCCTCTCCCCTCCCATCATTTCTTCTATCCTCCCTCCATGTGTGTTAGCACCCATATATCAGAGAGAACATTTGGCCTTTTGTTTTTTTGGGATTATCTTATTCCACTTAGCATATTCTCCAGATCCTTCAATTTACTGGCAAATGCCATAATTTCATTCTTCTTAACAGCTGAGTAATATTCTATTATATATTTTCTTTATCCATTCATCTGTTTGAAGGGCACCTAGGTTGACTCCATAGCTTGGCTATTGTGATTTTAAGTCCTTTGGGTACAGTATGCTGAGGAGTGGGATAACAAGGTCAAATGGTGGTTCCATTCCAAGTTTTCCAAGGAAACTGCATACTGCTTTCCAGAGTGGTTGCACCAATTTGCAGTCTCACTAACAATGTATGAGTATACCTTTCTTCCTCATATCTTTTCTAACAGTTATTGTTAATTGGGTTCTTAATAATTGCCATTCTGACTGGAGTGAGATGAAATCTCAGTGTAGTTTTAATTTGGGTTTCTCTAATTGCTAGAGATGAAAATTTTTTCCCCCTCTGACCTCTGCATGCTGCTGTGAGATATGTGGCTTCTTTCCCATACAAGGATATTGTACAGTGTGACTTGTGTGACTTTCAGTTTGTCGGGCAGTGCCTTTGATCTCTAAACACTCTGTAACCAGATCCGCCTCAGTCCTCCTAAAAATACAGGTTCCTTTAATTCCCTTATCCTTCCACTTTGCTCATGAAGGGACTGCTCTGGCCCTGGCAGTGGTGTGGTGCTGGGGTTTCTTCTTTATTTTATTATATCCAATCTCCTGAGTCCCCAGTCTGCTTTGTCCAGTATTAAATTTCAGTAAAGCCCCACCCCCTGCCGTTTTTTGTTCACCCACCTTGCAGAGAAGCTGCCTGTCTGCTTTCTTGGTTTCATGCCACAGAGCAACCAGGAAAGTCACCTTCTCTATTTTGCCATCTTGAAACCCTCCCAATTTCCTTTTCATTCTTTAATACACAATCTTTAATGCATCATCTGGCTAGGAGGGCCCCTTTTACCTTGATGTTTATTTAAGTCAAAATATAAGAACACCTCAATTTTTGAATTCTAGATCCCTTGGATATCAGATAGAAGGGAGAAATTAAAACCTTAGACTATTCAGTACTGTTGGGAGTTGCCCTGGCTCCAAAGACTAACTTCCCCATCCCCCAAGAAGAGCCGTCCAATGGTGAGCCCTGCTGGCTCACATGATCCTTATCCACCAATCAGAGCCCTGCTGGCTCACCTGATCCTACCCACCAATCAGACTAGCCCTGCTGGCTCACCTGATCCTTACCCTGCAATCAAAAAGCACCCCATGCCAACTGTCAAACCACCCCTGGCTCTATAAATATGCAGAGCTGTTCCTCAATAAACTGGCATTTGCTCCAACTATAAGCCTTGTTCATTCTTTCAAGTATTATCCTTTTATGGACACAGGCAGTAAGAGGGAAAGGGCATTCAGAATCTGAAATTTGTTGGACCTCATTTCACCACAGAACCAAGGTCCCTGTCTCATCACCCCGTCTACCTCTAATTCTTAGGAATTTCTATTTAAAATGTAATCTCTTTGTTTATGACAACCTAAAGGAGTCTTTTGAGCATCTCTTGTCTGCCTAATTTTAATTAAAGTACATGAAGTATATTACTTTAATGTAATAGCCTGTACTGAAACAAAATCTAGGCAGATGTCAATCTGGTGATCAAAGGAAAAGATAATTTGGGTTAAAATATCACTTTACTAAATGAACATTCCTTTTAAAGTATAGAGTATGTTTTTGGAAATGAGTGTATGAAACCCTTAAAAGAGGAAATAGAGCCAAAATAATGAGTGTTTCATAGAAAAGAGCCATTGTCATTCTCTCTCTTTTTTTTTTTTTCAAACTGGGGATTGAATTCAGGGGCACTCCACCACTGAACAACATCCCCAGCCTTATTTTGTATTTTACTTAGAGACAGGTTCTCACTGAGTTGCTTAGCATCTCACTGTTGCTGAGGCTGGCTTTGAACTTGCAATCCTCCTGCCTCAGCCTCCCAAGCTGCTGGGATTACAGGCATGTGCCACCATGCCAGGGCTATTCTCATTCTTGGTAGAGGAATGGGAACATGCTAAACACATGATAGATGAGAATGCCAAGGAGCCTCAGTCATGGAGTGAGTTTTCATTCAGACACTCTTTCCAAGAACATCAGAAAAGGTAGGAGAGCTGAGAGATCCTCCCGAGGCATTCATGACCTCACCCAAATACAGGGCAGTGACTCTCTCTGCAGGTAGGGAGCAGGCAGGCAGCAAGACAGGAAAGTTGAGAGGAACCCATCTTCATCTGGATGCTCAGCTCTATGGCTGGGATTGGGATAAGCTGAGAGTAACTCTCCCTCTGAGAGGTGACTGGCCTTCACCCAGCATATATCCTTGCCAAGATTAGAGAAGGGAGGAGGGAGGAAAGAAAGAAGAATGAGAATATCTCCACAATGCATGACAAACAGAGGCAGATGAGAAAGGAATAATAATTATCCAGGAAGCAAAAAACCTACAAGCTAGCATATAAAGTAGAGATAATTGTCTCAGGGCTTAGAAAGTTGGTGGTTCAGTTATAAACCATGAAGAGATATCTGGAATCTTATCAGTGCTAAGATTCCAAGCACAGCTAAAGAGAAAATAAATATGGCAAAAGTGATGAACGATCTAATAGAAAAGATGGGCAACATGAGAGAAGACTTGGAGCATTTCAGTCAAGATTTGAAAATGAGAGCAAACAATCAACCAAAAATTTAAAAAGTAAAATTTTGAAATAAAAAATATCAGGAATAAAAAATTATCATATGGATTTAAGAGAAAACTGGAAGAAGTATAGGAAAAGAGCAGTGAACTCAAAGAAAGATTAACAAATAGCCTGTATATGAAACCAAAATTTAAAAAATAGTAAATAATTAACAGGTTATCTGAGATCTATGGAATAATATGAAATGGCCCCACAAATGTGTTTTGGAAATCTTAGGAGAGGAAAAAGAGGATGGGGTGTAAGAAAGACTTGAAATGCTAATGGTCAAGGACATCCCAAAATCAATGAAATTTGAAAGCTGAATAGAATGTTAAATAGGATAAATAAAAATGAAAGCATATTCGAGGATCATCATGAAGCAGCTTCACACCAAAGAAAGAGAGTAATCATAAAAACAGCTAGATGGAAAAAGATACATCATATACTTGAGAAAAATGATACAAATAAAGACTGATTTCTTACCAAAAAATGATAGAGGCCATAAAATAATAGAATGCCATTTTTACAAGTTACTTTGAAAACAAAAACAAACCAAAAAAATCACCTATGATCCTATCATTTTATATTAAAAAATGAGGGTGAAAACCACCTTTATACAGACAAATGGAATGTGGGTAGATGGTGCACATCTGTAGTTCCAGGACTTGGGAGGCAGAGGCACGAGGATTGCTTGAACCCAGGAGTTCAAAACCAGCTTGGGTGAGACCTTGTCTCAGAAAAACAAAACAAAACAAAACAAAACCCCACAGCAACAGCAAACAAACAATGCTGAGAGAACTTTCAATTTAAGAAATTTTAAAGCTTGAAGGTTAAGGAAAACGGAACCCTGAGGACCTCTGGATGTGCAGAAAACAAGAATACACACCCAGCAGTGTATAGATAAAATGCTTTATTTTGTTATCAGTTCATATCTATATCTACCTATCTTTATGACAATTGACTACTTAAAGTAGAATATCAATGACATATAGTGGGACTTTAAGCATAGTTATGGGTAAAATTTGAAACAAGAGTACAAAGGATGGATGAGGGTATAAAAGGGTTTATATACTTGTAAGGTCTTACACTGATGTGAAGTAGTATATTGTTTGAAATTAGACTCTAATAATTAAGTATGCTTATTGTAAATCCAAATACAGCCATTAAAAAGTAGTTTTGATAACAAGAAGGCAAGGTAGAAATACCAAAAAGTGCATGATTCATCCACAATGAGGAGAGAAAGAAGAAACAAAGGAACTCAAACCAAATGGGATTAATAGAAAACCAATGCCAAAATAGACTTAAACTCAACCATACAAGAGTTACATTAAATCTAAGTTGACTAAAAATATTTAAAGGCAGATGTTGTTACTCTGAACAAAAAAAAAGCAAAATCTATATGTGATGTGTAAGAAACATGCGTTAAATATAAAGGCACATACAGGGTGACAGTAAAAGAGTAGAAAACCATGTACCTTTTAATAATTATATAAAAGAAATCTAAGGCTTGGGAATGTAGCTCAGTAGCAGAGGGCTTTCTAGAGTGTGCAATTCCTGGGTTTAATCCCTAGCACTGAAAAAATAAAGCAAGCAAGTAAAGTCGGCTTTATTAAATACAATTAAGACAA